TTTTCCACTCTCATATAATTCACAAATCACAACAACATTAGGAATGTCACCGTAAGAAATGATATTCAATCAAAAACCACGTACTCCAATAATGTTTACAGCAAACGCCCATAAAAATGCAAAATTAGATCAACAAAAAGAAATTGTTAACCAAATACACCATAAATAAAAAACACGAACATCTCTAAAAGAAAGAAAAAATAGAAAAATGACAAAAAAAATTCTACTACAAGATCAAAAAGAAAAATCTGAAAATAGAGAATCATCACGACTCAGAAGTCAACCACGAAAAAATTATAAAACCTTCATTCCACAATCTAAAATATTGAAAAAAGTTGAATTTAAAAAATAACTTTCATTGTCATTTTCCATCATCTTCTTTTAATTATTTTGAACAAAACACATTTTCAAAATAACATGCTGAAAAACAGTCGAGCAGATTTAGTTCAAAATCAGCCAATAGAATCATCCCGACACTTTATTTATAGCAATCCGACTTTATTAGCCGACACATATTAACCTCTAAACTTATCTATAACTATAACTTCAAGACATCCAGTTCAAAAAAAAGCGAACGGCCTCAAAATTACATCTAAAATAAACATAATCTCAATTTTACAACCCTCTCCTATCAAGCAGTAAAAAGATCAAGAAAGTTTTCCCAACTTAGCAATCACAAAACACTCAAGCTAAATTTTTAAATTAGCTTAAAGTTTAAAGAGCACATGATCAATTAGCCTAAAATACGAATTTTTGTTGGATACTCCTAATTATTCCATAAATAAAAACAAAACTACAAAGATCTCCCCGACACCTCAAAAGAACCCCTCAACAACTCTGGACAAAAGCCAACCCACTTGTCATAAAATCAATAGATAATCCGACCGCACTCGAATTTAGCCCCAAAAAATTGAAAAAGATTCGACAAACCAAATCACTTCTTAAATGCTTCTCTCAACAACAGTCGTTAAATTCAAATAAATTTTTTCAAACCTTTTAGTAAAATTTTCAAATCTTCTTAAATTTTTTACAATATTTTAAACTAATATAATAGAAACCCTTGGAATGTTAAATGTCTAAGTAAATACGTATATAAAATGCAATTGTACTTAAGACCATTCTATAACATTCTTAGACGACAAAATAACTTTGAATGGACAACAGAACATCAAACACGATTTGAAGAAATCAACAAAACTTCTCACTGAACAAATTTTAAACACAATCCCAAATCCAAATCAACCATTTTATGCAATGTGCGATGTTTCAAAATTTGGCATCGGAGCAGCATTATTACAATCCCGCAATGGAACAAATAAAATGAATTTTATATCAGCAAACTCTCGCCTATTTACACAAGCTGAGTTACGACTCTCTACCCTTATGAGAGAGTGCGCAGCTATTACACACACCTTAGCGGAATATGAATTTTTGATACTTGGATCCAAACATCCAACAGTTTTGTTTACAGACCATAAACCTATCGTGTTTGTTTTTACACAAAAATCAAATCCAAACCATCGAACTTATAGATTTCAATTAATTTTAAATAAATTTCCAAACTTACACATAGTATGGACAGCAGGAAATAACCTTGCACTAACTGATACTCTTAGTAGAAATACACCACTTGAACTATTAACAAGAAAAACAACAGTTGAAATACCACAAAATATAAAATTTTGTCCCGCCAAAGATGAAACATCACATCGATTAGAATGTAAACATGCAGTAAAATCTGACGTAGAACAATCACAAATTAACTAACTGCAACTTTTTCTACTCTATTTAGATTTTCAAAACAACCATTATGAAATTGATTTATTAAGAACATCTACATTCAAGCCGATAGGCTATTCACATTGGATCAAAAATAATACTGAACAAAAAAGAATTAAACAGCAACCACATAAAAAGGACCCATTTCCCTTAATAGAAAAGGAAAATCTAACTGATACAATAAATTGATCAGGACCGTTACCAAATGATTCAAAATACACAAAAATACACGTTTTTAATCTTCATGACCTACTTGATACAATACCCTATCAAAAATCAAAGTAGAAAACATTTTTCTACCAGCAACAGAAAAATCACACTAGAATTAGTACAGAAATACCAAAACCTTGATCCCGTCATTAGACAACTCAAATTATGGCACAAATATAAAACCAAACCAACAAAAGTTGATACCACAATCTTAGGAAACAAAACATCAGATACTTCAGAAAATTTCAAAACACCACCATAAATGAAAATACAGACACTTTAGAGTATCAAACACTTGATTTTAAAGTATCATGTGTACCTTTAAGTATGATTTCAATCGCATTCAGCACTTCCCATACCTTAAAGACAAAAGGACATTCCGGATCAGAAAAAAAAACAAATATACTAATTTTATACAAAAATTTTACTTCCCTAAGAGACCAATTTGGATAAAAGTATTATGCAACGATTGTATAAAATGCCAATTAATTAAACCCTATCGAAATCGAAAACAACTCACAGAAAAAAAAAGATTTTACAGGACTTTATTTTAATCACAGAATATCAATTGACACAAAAGGACCAATTTCACCAACCTCAGAAGGAAACTCATATAATGGTAATTGTTCATGCATTTACACATTATGTAGCACTTAACCCAGTGCCCCATTGTAAAGCTTATTATGCATATACAATACTCTACGAACACTGGATAGCTAAATTTGTTTTACCCGAAATTTTAGTCGCAGACAATGGCACTGAGTTTATTAATAAAGAAATCATCACATGATGCGCCTTATGTAACATTAAACATAAACCACGTACATCTCATGCACTTTGGACAAATGGATTAGTCGAAAGTATGAACCGTTCTTTACAAGAATACCTCAGATGTATCATTAATGGAAATGATACCCGATATACTGAATGGTCAGCAGATGTAAAATTTTTTCCACTCTCATATAATTCACAAATCACAACAACATTAGGAATGTCACCGTAAGAAATGATATTCAATCAAAAACCACGTACTCCAATAATGTTTACAGCAAACGCCCATAAAAATGCAAAATTAGATCAACAAAAAGAAATTGTTAACCAAATACACCATAAATAAAAAACACGAACATCTCTAAAAGAAAGAAAAAATAGAAAAATGACAAAAAAAATTCTACTACAAGATCAAAAAGAAAAATCTGAAAATAGAGAATCATCACGACTCAGAAGTCAACCACGAAAAAATTATAAAACCTTCATTCCACAATCTAAAATATTGAAAAAAGTTGAATTTAAAAAATAACTTTCATTGTCATTTTCCATCATCTTCTTTTAATTATTTTGAACAAAACACATTTTCAAAATAACATGCTGAAAAACAGTCGAGCAGATTTAGTTCAAAATCAGCCAATAGAATCATCCCGACACTTTATTTATAGCAATCCGACTTTATTAGCCGACACATATTAACCTCTAAACTTATCTATAACTATAACTTCAAGACATCCAGTTCAAAAAAAAGCGAACGGCCTCAAAATTACATCTAAAATAAACATAATCTCAATTTTACAACCCTCCCCTATCAAGCAGTAAAAAGATCAAGAAAGTTTTCCCAACTTAGCAATCACAAAACACTCAAGCAAAATTTTTAAATTAGCTTAAAGATTAAAGAGCACATGATCAATTAGCCTAAAATACGAATTTTTGTTGGATACTCCTAATTATTCCATAAAAAAAAAACAAAACTACAAAGATCTCCCCGACACCTCAAAAGAACCCCTCAACAACTCTGGACAAAAGCCAACCCACTTGTCATAAAATCAATAGATAATCCGACCGCACTCGAATTTAGCCCCAAAAAATTGAAAAAGATTCGACAAACCAAATCACTTCTTAAATGCTTCTCTCAACAACAGTCGTTAAATTCAAATAAATTTTTTCAAACCTTTTAGTAAAATTTTCAAATCTTCTTAAATTTTTTACAATATTTTAAACTAATATAATAGAAACCCTAGTCATCCCTTTCACAATATTTTGCAATCTTTTTTTATTTTTCTAGTCACCCTTTGAAGTTTATGTATCCCTTTCCACAATCCTTGATAACCTCCTCAGGTACGATAATTTCATAACTGTTTAAATGTTTCGTAATCTATTTAGTAGAACAGATGTCTTTCTACTATTTTTTAATTTTTATCACTTTTTTACATCACTTATTATGACAATATGTAAATTTATTAAAAAAGCAATCATCACATTTGCATTAGCCACTATTCTCTTTTTCTTTTTCATTGAAGAACACTGGAACAAACATAAATTTTCCTCACAAAAAACTTCACTCAAAGAAATTTTTCAAAATTGCTAATCAACAACCCCCACACCAGTCCCCACCAACAACGTCCAATGAAAATCCAACAACACCCACAAGTACCCAACAACCCCATTCATCTACACGCATTTCTTTTCAAGAAAATCCGTATACTTTTGAAGAAAGACACGCACGATTATCTGAACCATTAGAACCAGCTGTACGCCAAGCACTTTTAAGTGAACCACAAAACGAACCAACATATAATATATACCCACACCTACAACAAGATCTTAACAGCGTAAGACACATAAGTCAAAACCAGAACACACTCGAAATAAATAGACAAATTATACATTCAAGACGAGAGTTCAATTCAACATACCTCGATCACCAACATGAAGTAGCACAAAACCAGACACACCTCCAACAGCTTCACAACAAAACACTTAAAATATTCCATCCGATTACTTAGGTTCAACCCCTACATCAGAACAAATTAGAGAAAATCCTTTTAATAACCCAACAACCACAGAACGCCCTCCATATTGGGTGACAAACAAATACCCTCACGATGAACCAAATTTAATAAACAACCCAGTTGACATTTCATTCCATACAACACTATCTACATTACCCGAAACACTTTCCCTTCCCTCAACACCTTCTTTAAGCGAATTATCACCATTAACGTTTCCCCTAAATTTTCCTACCGACCCTGATTCACGATATCACGAACATCCATCTCAGAATATACCACCACGATTAGATTGGAATACCTTTGTAGCACCCGCACCATTATTTGGTCAACATCAGGAAAAAAATAGATTACACAACTGGGCATTAAACAGATTGCAATATCGACACGATATTCACAAAGTTATACAAGAGCATAACATCCAAATACTACAACAAAGCAGTCTCACACTAAAATTCGAACTTATAGTAAGACTAAATAACATTGTTCAACATCCATTGCCATTATACCCTCCTAATATCTCAGCTCAGTCTTTACCTCCCCCATTTATAACATCAGAAATAAAGTATAAATACGACAGATATATAAAAAGACAATCGGATACATAACCTTTTATAACCCATACTCAGGATTGTCATACACATTTATATTCTAAAGATATTCACATTTCAATACCTCCTTTTTCTCATTTTTTTTGAACCAAATCAAAATCCCTCTCCTCGCACAGGACCTCAAGATTTATTAGTAACACACTACGATTGTGAAGAAAACGAACAAAAAACACTACACAAATATGCTATAAATCAAGTCACCCAATGTGAATCCGAACCACAAGCTATATAAACAGCAAATATAATAGCTACACTATACTCAAAAGCCCGAGTAAAAACAGTAACAGGATACAATTTTACAGCAACATTTTCCGAAAAGAGAGTACATTGTTCTCAAGTTTCAAACGGAAATAAAAATAGATTGGACCACGAATCTTTCTACCAAAATAATAATGAAAGGTTACTACATCTCAGCCCTCAAGACTGTAAAAACGAATTAAAGCGACTAAAGTTAACACCAAATGAAGGCACAAATAGAACACTTGTAAATTTTCAAGTTTTCCCAGATGTAGCACATCAAGCAGAACTTGAAAAACACCAAGGTCACATAAGACTAGATACAAAATTCCCCTTCCATGAAGCACACGGAAGATTAATATACGATCTTCACGATAAAACTTGGATACCACACATAGGAATAAATAATCCCCCAAATTGTGAGGCAGACACAAAAAACAAAGGATGCCAAGAGATAATGTTTTTTGACTGGAAAATACAACTCGAAAAAGTACAAATCACACATGACTTAAAAGACAATACATTTATTTTCCAAGGAATTAGACTCCCTTGCAAAAATGAACAAGGTTTTTGCGATCCTACAACACGCACACTAGCAACCACTGTATGGTTTCCCGATGAAACCTGCACAGTTTTTCAAGTAGCAAAAATACACGCTAGAATGATCAAAATTCACCAAAAATATTTTATCGAATCAATTCCATATGAAGATGTAAAACCTAACCAAATAAGAACTAAAAACCAATAATTTAAAAACATCCACAAAATAGAAAAACAAATTAACACGATTTCAAATATACCCAGAAACAGAACTTGCATGTAAATACAACAAGCCAATTTATAAAACACAGTATTCAGAAATTCTTGTCGAATACGAAAATGGTTTCGACATGAATACAGGACATTTAATCGTAATCCCGATGTCCACATCTCACTCATTTACTGACGAAAATCCCTACGTTTCAGTAATTTTTCAGAAAAGCACAGGACGAATCGGTGGAAAATTAAAACCACAAGACACAGAAAGTACACGATTACAAGAACTATCACTAATGAACAGCACACATTTTGGGGCAATTCACTATGATATGCATTTAGATATGAAATTAAACTACACAATGAGCAGAATTTTTCAAGAAATGTCACTTTCAGAATTAGAAACACTACACCAACTATGTGAACTTGAAAGAACACAAATTCTACAGTCACTAGCACTAGCAGTTCTAAAAATATTTTTTATCCGGAAATTGATCAAATTTCATTGATTATGAAGGAAACATCTTATGGTATTACACTTGTACCAAAAAAGTACTACCTTTATACGTTTTTGAAGATAAACGGTGTTACAAAAGAATCCCAATATTATACAAAATAAAGTATATTTTATTGATACACTCTCAAGAAGAACAAATTTTTGGGATACAGCAGTACCATGTGGATCAAAAAATAGCCACAACGTTTTACAATTGAATCCCGATGAAGATAAAAACTATCTACTTACACCATATCCAACATTAATGCCACCATTAAAAAAAGTTTTCACCCGAAAGCATTAGAGCTATAGCCCGAAACCCAAATATCGATTTACAATCGATAGGCATCTATTCTAAATCCGACATACAACACCACATACGTACACAACAATTTCATGAACTACTTACAAAGATGGACACTATAAAACGACAATCAAAAGATCAAAATTTACGAAAATTTGCAGAAACAGCAGGATTTTTAGACATTTACGCTTAAGATTACAGCGGATATTTTAAAGACAAAAAAGATTACATTTATCTAAACAGCGAAAAATATCGCCCACAAGATATATCACCAATCATTAGTTTTAGTTTTGTACAGTTCAAAAACGAACTTTTAGCCTTTCTATAGCCATATTGTAGATATAATATGGCCATCTTATATCTTAGAAAAATTGACTATAGTATACGCAATGTTTATTTTTAATGGCATTATGTTTTCTTTTTTAAAAGGCATTTATAACACATGCGCAATCCACACACAGGTCAATAGACAAGCGAGCGTAGCACGCTTACTTTTTGCAGGATTTTTCGGAACATTTTCCACATCTATAAATAAAAATACTTTTAGATGCACAAATAAAAGAATACAATACAAAATTATCAACTACACCAAACACATATGACGAATCACACAATAACAAAAATACATTACCTACAGCACCACAACTACCAAGTTTAAATCGTAACCATCCACTATCACTAGTACCACGGAACTTCAGAAATTTAGCACTAGTAAACATCGCAAATTCAAGACCAAATCATATACAAAGTCCAATTCATCACATTGTAACACAACAATCTCAAAATGACGATACACATGAACAAATAATCGAACAACTACATACAACCAAGTTTCTATCTCAGAACAATCATTTTTTTAGCCTACGATGAGCCGACAATTGGGTCCCTTCACCGTTCAATTTTCCATCCAGCCAATCTCCAAAACCAAATTCGCATCATCCCATTTTTTGCTTTCCAGCCACCTGAGTCACCCCATATTAACACATCATCCGGCATGGATTTTGACGCTAACTCAGATATCACCGTTTTTATTACAATTTCCCAATATAATGATTCAGACATAGAAACCCCAGACGAATTCGCTAACTCCAAACCCAGCCCATCAACATTTTCTCATACCCCCTTTCGACCCATTCACTCCCAATCCAAAATTGATTCCCCCTTTACCCTCTCTCATATTTCCCAAGTAACTCCGACATACTGCCCCCTAATCAATGAGCGTTCCAACAACAATTCCCCAGAAACCGCACAAATTTCACAAGAACTAGGTAATCTAATAACACTTCAACGACAAATACAACATGCTCACACTCTAACCGTTCACCAATTATCATCAAACATAACATCATCAAATCCACCAACTCCTACGCCCTCTTCAGATTATACCCCTTCTTTAGATCAACCCTCAACATCAACCCACTCATCATCCACAACTAACCGTGCATATAGAACGTTCAAAAGAAAATTTCGTAACCACCCGATTTCCTCCAAACTCGGAACAAACCGCGATTGGGAAAACCACCATGACCATACTAATACTCCAGCCTTTCTCCAAACTTCCCTACCCCTCTTCCCCCGATATACCATTAGTCATTCCAACCCTCACACTGAACAACCCCACTATGTCGATGAGCATGTACTAATCACTACACTTCACTGGACATCATTTTATTATTTCTCAAATCCACTTTGTAAACCACTAAATAACCCACCTCACGAAATAGAAAAAAGTGAACTTAACTTTTTTAGACTAACAACAGCACTAACACCTAGACAATTTACGCACGTAGGATATAAAAAGCTACTAAAATGTTTCACTGCACCCCGAGCTAATGATTATTGTTTTGAATACTTTGATCGCAACATCATCAGACCTAACCAAGACCAATTTCTAGACGAAGATAAGTTCGCTTACCCACAACTAACCGAAAATTTTTTCATCCAAATACCCTACATCTTTACACTAAGCTCACTCGATAAAAAACACGACCACATAATTTCCAAAGCACTAATTGACATCCAAGCTTATGAATCATTTTACGATACGTTTCACTAACCTTTCACTTCCTCACTCCAAAAGAAATAGATCTGCACTGTTCACACGACATCATGTTGCGAACTAAACAAACGCATACCTACACATATTATAGATTCATTCAAAGTCATTTTAATTTACAAACACCTTCACGGCAACCCCACCATCGTTTTCAGTTTATTAATTCAAAGTACACTTCACAATTTTTCTTAAATTTCACATACTGTATTAAAAACACTAACTTCTAAGGCATCCTCAGAAATTACGACCCAATAACCCAAATGTATGTATTTTGTCCACTCACCAAGACCTTTAATGTGGAAGAATCCCGACCTCTTTTTGTCCCGCATGAATATATTCAACCTATAGAAATCCTAATATTAGAATTCATTCACAATACTAAATATAATCACAAGCTTTTTAACCCCATTCAGCACACCAATCACGAGTTTTCTGTTGGCACTGAAGAACTAAACGCCATAAAAGCACTTCAATTGCTTTGGCCACTACTCGAAACTAAAAACATCATTCGCTTATTAGCAAAATTACTAACCACATCAGATTCAATTCTTGATATCTTCCCTCATGGCTTCCTCCCCGATAATTAGGTAAGTATAATTTAAATAATTTAACACTAGCAAATTCAAAACAAACTAACCATTTTTTTAAAAATGTTTCATCATTAGTCTTTAGATCACCATCATCTACAAACAAGAAATGTTTGTATTGTTTGGAAATTTTTGACCACAAAATTTGCAATTTTCTCAGTGCGCGCTCTCCTTCAAAGTTAGTATATATTGGCACCCAAGGAGCCTAGAGAAACGTTTCGTGGCCAGTCAGCTGAAAACGGTTGTCTCAAAACAGTACAAAATGGGGGACCTGTTGATTCGGCAGGGGTCGAATCCTCGAGAAGGAGGTCTCCGACTCCGATCTTCTTAAACCCACAACGGGGTGAAAACATTCTTAGTTTTGATTTTAAAAAAACTTAGAAATAATTGGAGTTTTCTTTAGCGGGATGAAGTTTTTTCGCAGTTTAAATGGTTTTTATGTGGTTTCTTTTTTGACTCTTATTTCGATTGGATGGTTAGCGATAAACAGTACTTCAATAATGTAAGCAAGAACGGAAGAGTACATAACTTTTGTAATAAAATAGTGTCCTCAAGCTGTACATAAAAAATGTCATGTTCTGAATTTTGGACAAGACTTCTCGAAAGATCAAACTCTTGTTCTCAACGATATAAAAAAAATAGAAAATTCAGGTTTTAAGAACATTAAAATTTTTTCTAACATAAATATAATTTATAACCAAAAAGTTCGAAATCATTTCTATAATGATTTAAAAAGTCTATAACAGTTTTGGGATTCATTTGTTGCAAGTATTCCTTCAATTTACTTTTCCTTTCTTTTTTTCGATTCACGTTTGCTGTCGGATTATCGATCAATGAGTAAATCATTTTTCTGTGCTCCGAAACATGAGCCGATTGTTTAAAGAAGCGGTTTGTTTCAGTAGCGTCATCAAGTTTTACGATCACGTTATAGTCAATGTCACAAGGCGAGCAGCTCTGCTCGTAAGTCCAAAAATGACGATCGTCCATCATCAAACTTTGCCTCATATAAGACTCCAGCGCAGATATGTTCTTTTCATGCTGCCTTTTCCACACTTGGTCTGTGAAAATTGCCATATCTGATTCATTTCTATGGTTTTCTCTTATTATGATGTCCTTGAAACCCGAGATTAGTCGGTTGACAGGGTGTCGAACTACAATCAGTCTTGTCTTGACTTTTCTGGCAATATTTCTAACCGACTCATTGCTAAATTTTAGTCGATGAGGGTTGGCATCTGAAATCAAGATGAATTTACTATTAGTGAACTCTTAAATCAAGACTATATTTAAATGCAAAATTGAGTGAAAATTAAGAAGAGATTTAAGTGGAAATTGTTTTTCTACTTAACCTCACGTGTGTGGTTTGGTGTACATGTGTTTGTTCCGCCTGGGTGATGATAACTATTATGTGGAAATAAAAAATTCGGCTAGGGTTTTGATCAAGAAGACGATGTCTTAAAAAATAAATGTATTAGAAGCAAGTATAGGTGGTTACTGTGCAAATAGCACAGAATGTTCGGACCATAGTCTTATAAATGGAAACTGGAAATAGATATTAAGCAAATTGGACAACAGTTTTTGAAGAAGTGATTAGAAAAACAAAAAAGCGTTATAAAAATTTAGAAAATTTTTGAATTTTTGAAATTTTTGATATCCAAATTTTTGCTAAAAAATCCAAAAAATAAAGTTACTCGACTAAAAATAAGTTTTCACGGCTTGATCTAAGCATCAATAAGCTATTTTAAGCCTGCTCGCTCGAAATGAGACGAAAAACCAAAAACTTCAAAGGTCGGAACAATTACTCACAGAGTCCCTGGGGGCCCCTGGGCATGTATGGCACCCTGTTGGTCTCCAGGCCCGTCAGCAGAGCAGTCCACGCAGTATTGCCACACTTTGCCACTGCACAGTAGAGGGTGCTGGAGTGGGGGAACAGGGCGAACCTATTCACGACATGAATTGTCTCTTATGAATCGCCATGAGCGGTAAAATGGTAACAATCGTATCAGGACGAAGCCCTCAATGTTCCGACTGCCTTTTGAGGTATATAGAGCAAAAAATACCATGATAAAATCAAATGTAATAAAACAAAATAAAAAAAATTTAAATTTGAGATTTTGTTTTGAAAATCACTCCCCCACACGCCATATAAAGTGCAAAGTGATAGATTTCGCTCCTTGTAACATATCAATTATGGCAAATAAGCTTCCTCCAACCAATTTAGAAAGATTTCTAAGACGGATTAAATCTCAGCTTACGCGTTAATAGCGCGAAATATATCGCGCGTTAATTTTCCAAAATTGGCCAAATTGGCAATCTTTAAACCCCCATAACTTTACCAAAAATGATTACAGGTGAAATATCTTTTCAAGTTTGAGCTCAGGACAACAATACATTTCGAATGATATAAAAAAATTCCGTCAAAATGGCTAGTTAAAAAGTCGAAGTTTGTCTGAAGAAAAAAACCCACCCCGAGCGGAACAAAAAGTCGGAACAAAAAGTTGTCATGATTTGTTGGATTTTGATTGCTGATAAATTGGCTTCTTCAAAACACAAGACAATTAAGACTTAATAATCAACATTTTAAAGACATAGTTAAACAGAACCTATCGGGGGGAGTGCTATGTGATGACTCATGTGCACCCTCCGTCACGTGACCAGGTTGCCGTTCCCTAAAACAGATGACTGAATTACAAGAAAAACAAGGGAAAAAATGGCTCAATCGCAACAAAACAAATCCATGATGCTCTACTCTGTCAATAATTTATCATTTTATAACTCAGTCAATTCAAACTATTAAGTTTTTGCAATGCCATTTTATAGAAAAATGAACACGAATTACTCACATCAAATGATTGTAACTTATCGGAGTAAAATTGAAAATGAGTTTCAACCTACAAAGCAACTCGTTTGCAGCTCTATGGGGTTGAAATTTCTTGTGTTAGTTTTATTTTAAATTAATTTATCGAGAAAAGAAAAAACAACATCAGTGCAGTAAAAATTTTGATCGTTTTGCATTATCATAGATTTTAGTTAACGCTTTATCGATTTTCGATGCTGGGGCGGATCTATGATTTTCTTGTCGAGTTTTTTTTAAGTCAGCCAAATTGATTTTCCGAACGCTCCCAGAACTCTAGAAAGTCCCTTTTTTAACAAATTTTCTGCGCCGCAGGCAATGTTTTGAAAACAAAATCAGGTCAAAAACGCAGATTTTGGGCACTTTTCAAAATTTGTCGACCAAAAAAACGATTTTTTTTGGCGCGCACTCTCCTTCTAAAATTATGCAGTGTCGATTTAATTTAACTTGACATGACCAAAACTTTTTTTTAGATTTTTTTTATTTTTAACTTTCTTTTCTCACAAACTATTCGATATTAATTAAAGGACAGTCGAAACATTCAGGGCTTTGCCCTGATATACGAGCAGTCTTGTTGCTAGTTTGCTCAGGTTCAAATTGATTTAAAACTTTAATTCTGCTATGAATAAATTTTCAAACAGCGTCAATTCAGCTATGAAAACATAGGACTTGTGCAACTTTCTAGTGTATTTCACATCTTGAGGGGTTAATATTTCAATAGTCTGTCAAAAAACGGCTAAAATTCACAGGCTGTAAAGGTAAATTACAGCACAAAAACCTTACATACGCACTTAATTTCTAATAAAACTCTCAATTCAGATCTCATTTTCGTATGAGGTTTTATCATTCTTGCGAGATATGTTTAATTTGTACAAATTCGAAAAAAGTCACGGCGAAAAAAATACTTACCTGTTAATGTGATTACACCTTATTTTCAAATTTTCTCTTCTCTCTTTGTAAATTGCATCAACTGACTTTGCTTCTTTTTCACTCTTGGCTGACGGATCAAACAACTCAATTCTGGACCAGTCTGTGAAGTGGTCCACATTAAGTGCAGCACCTTGTCGTCTAGGGAAAAGGACACGGCACCTGTTTGACTTTGCGTGATCATACTGATAGTCTGTATTTGATACACTTGTCCGCTGAAAACCATATTGGGTTACTTACGACAAAAACATGTTTCTTTTATCAGCTTTCGTTTCCGAAAAAAATCATCCAGTTTGAAGTTTTGTGTAGAATTTAGCAATTGAGACAGCATAAACTAAATAAAAAATCAAGGTTAGTTTTAGTCAAACAAAGAAAAAATTCAGAAATTCAGAAATGAGGCAGTCATAATTGAATGGGCAAGGAACTTAAGAGCAGAGCGAATTGCAGAGCAAATTGCAGAGCGAATTGCAGAGCGAATTGCAGAGCAAAATCTACCCAGACGAAAGGGAGTTTCGCATTATTTACAAAACAAACATAGCCTGGCAAAGTAACCGACAGAAAATGAGACGAAAGCTACTAAGTGAAATTAAAATCACAATAAATCTGAAAAAAGGACCTTTCAGAATTTTCAATGTGTTTTGTTGATTTTTATTGAATCAATTTGTGAAAAAAGGCCAAATAGTGCAAGTGAAAGTTAAATAAGCATCAGCTCAAAAATTCAGAGGCGATAAGAAAACCAGCAAAACTTAAGCGAGCACCCGATGGGCCTCACAAAATGTTCCGATAAAATTTTTATAAAAAATTTTCAAAAAAATAACAATTTTTTCTCTGATTAAGCACACTGTTTGAGGCTTTTACGTCCACTTATTATAAATTTATCCCACAAAAAACTACAAACCAGAAAAACATGCCATATCGGAGTGTTTCTTTGTTCAGTCGCTTTTTCCACCTCGCGTCACCCACGTAGAACCGCCCGCCACTGGTTTCGATCGCTGGCAATGGTTTCCAGGGAATCTTTCAAGACGCGGCATGAAACATTGAGCGGTTTCATTAGTTTTTCTGCTTTTTTCTTCATGATACTCAAGTAAAAAAGTTTTATCTCCACTCGGCGGTCTCTTCCAGAATGGATCTGGTTTGGTCATGAATAGGGTCATGGAGTATTGACAGGAATCCATGCGGAGAACATGCCCCAGGTCTGCCCCAGATGGCCTGTGAGAACATCTCTACTTGATCACTCTTTCGCAGGACTTCGGTGTTGGATACCCGGTTTTGCAACATCATTTTGGTGACTATACGAAGGCAATTCATATAGAATACGTCAAGTCTATGAATATCGGCTTGGAGTACGAAGACACTGGCCTTCAGAAGACCAATCTTTTCCTTCTTGCGGTAAACCATACACTCAAAACCGTGGAATCACACGACCTCGGCGTTGTGACCTGGCCATCAGAAGATACAATTGAAAACTTTGCCTTCGCGATGATATCACCATTATTGCAGACCCCGTAGAAAATCTCAGTCGGATGATCTCTCTGCCAGACGAGGCAGCAAAGATCTGGCGCCATAAAAAATGCGAGAAAACGAAGCTCATCAAAACCGCTGATATATCCGGTACAATCGACATAAATGGAATGGGAATCGACACCGTTAACGAATTCTGCTACCTAGGTAGTCAGATTACCCCAGACGGTTCTACTGGGACTGACATACTCAGGCGCACAAATCTGGCCTGGGCTGCTTTCAGCCAGTTATCCCAGTTGTGGAGTTCAAATTTCAACTCAAGATCAAGATGCGTCCAGCTCGCATACGTGGCGCAGCACCAGAGCGCGAGAGTTGGCACGTAAGGTTCGGTGCAGCGTCATGAGGGACCCCGAAAATTACTGGATTGAGATAGCTGAGAAGCTTAAGCGGGCTTCCGCCAGTGGCAATTGCAGGACACTCTTACAACTGGCCCGTGAACACAGTTCTAAAAAGTCTAAACCAGTTTCTGGGACAATATCAGAGTGGGTAAAGATACAGCCAACCCCAGGAAGAAACTTTTTATGTGGAAAAATTAGGATTTCGGAATGATAAGGTTTGCTAGTCGCAAGCGTTTTTTTGCGATAAAAAGTTTGACAAATTAGCACAATGCTCTCATAATGCTGGCAACAAATTTTTCTAATCAATTGTACAATTTGAGGCTTTTAAGTCAATCTAAAATAATTTTATCGCTAAAACTTTTAAACTGGCAAAACAATTGAAAAAACCGAAGAACACTGAAATATCGGAGTGGGTAATATTACAGCCAACCCTATGAAAGTTGTTTCAATTGGAAAAAATTAGGACACAGAATTAAAAGGAATTGCCCAATTGATGGCTTCAGTATTTCTGTAGAGATGTAAAGTCTTGTGGCAAAGGACAAGCAAGTGAGAGAAGTGTTGGTTTGAGCACTCAAAGTTGAAGGAAGGTGTCGAGAAAATTTACCCCCAAAATTGTAATTATTCTATTTTCAAATGGATCAATTTTGAGCTTACAAAGTTTTGAAGCACCTAAAATTCGAATTTACTTCATCAGCTGTAGGTTTATAAGAGTAAAAACTATATAAAGTTATCCAAAAAGTAAGAAACAAACATACATACAGATGGTTTGGATTATTTGTCAGCTTTTTTTTATAAAACAAATATTTCAAAGCGTTTACCTCTGTACCGTTGTTTTTGATAATGTTATATTTGACATCATACGTTATTCCTCCTAACTTTGTAAGGGTTATCAAAAGTTTTTTTTTTTGGTTAAATATTGTTAGTGACTAATCTTGAATAAGTATTAAGTTCCTTCGCGGTTTTCAACAGCCTTCAGTTTTTCCCCTCTGGCACACTGCGTTTTTCAAAAGTTTAGTTCAGACTTTTCTGAAGGAGAAACAGAATATTGGTGTTAGGGTTAGTTTTTTTCCGACTGATCTCAATTTTAATCAATCGTGCTTGTCATAATTTTCTGTACTATCTGTTTATGAATGCCTTGACCTCAATTTTCAATACTTTTTTCATGGTATCGTTTATTTTGCAAAATTAAGGGGTTTCAAATTGCCATTTTGGCCCCATTGAGATTTTTCTTTGCAAGTGAAGTTTCAACTTTTCTACTAATGTGTTGAAATTATCCGGCTCAGAATTTTTTCAAAATTAAATGGAAACACCCTTGCTTATCTAATTAATTATATCATTTTGTCCTTCCTCTTGAATTCTTGTAGTTTATATTTATTACTTTTCTGAAATAATTTGTACCTTGAGACAGTGAAACAGATGTGAAATAGCAAACGAGTATTCAAAATTGTAATTGAATTGTCAAAAAAGCAAACCAAATTATTACGCTTCCAGAGACTTCAGTTTATTTTCCAGGCCTTGAATTTCGAAATAAATATTATTTCAGCATCTCTGATATTCAATTCAACTTTAAAAAATTACATATAAAATGCCGACAAAAAGGTAAACGTGAAATTTTAAGGAATAAATCGTTTTTAATTAGTTGCAGCTTGAAAATCAGAATTACCTCAAAAATTCAAAACGTGGTCCAATAATTTGACAAAGTAGTCTGATCACTTAAAGTTATACAATACATTTTGGATGTTGTTTGGAAAATTTCACCAAAAGCTTTTAAAAAAATAAAAGACAGTCGGAATAACCAAGGCTTCCTGATACGAACAGCCTTCTAAGTATATGTAATTGTGATCTTTTGTGCTGCGCATACTTGCAAAAAGTACCATAGGCTTAAGAATGATCTTACTACAAAGCAAAATTTAAAACAAAAATATTAAAATTATACTTTTTTTCACTAAAAAATATCAAAAGCTTTAGAGCAATTTTACTACGAAGTAGCTACTTAAAATACATTTTTGACGGCATCTGGAAAAACCATCAACAAATCCCGCCAATGATCTTTGATTCTTCATAAATCGGTATCTCCAGTTTTGGGCTCTTTTCCCTCTGTCAATAACCCCACCCCCCAACCTCACATAATATCATTTTTATGGTGTAACGGGGGTCTTTTCAAGGTAAAACATGAAAATCAAATATGATTGTTATGACTTAGTCAACCTTCATGCCAATTTTTGTAACAACCGGACAATTTGAGCAAAATTTTATTAGTAAAAATTTGCATGCGGCGAAGGAAAAAGAGCCCAGTTTTGCTGTAGTTACTTGCTTAGAACATCTATAAAAATACCTGCGAGATTTTACTAAGCTACCTTCAAAATATTTTCTTGAAAACTTGTCAGTTACGTTTCAATTTGCACATAAAAGTATACCTGGAGCTGATAGTATGTTATTTTCACTGGAGGCTAAAATGTGATGAAAACTATGAACTGGATTGGAATAGAAGCTAACAGCCGGAGTACTTCAGATATTCCTTGAAAAATTGATACTTGCGATAATAATATGCTCTTCGCTATTTATTGAACTTACTTGTTTTGCACGAGGCAGGCTTTTATCAGCCGGTTGAAACGTCGGCCTAACTGCTTTGTCAAGCCATAACTGGAACACAATTAAAGAGCCGAAAAATACGGTAAGTAGCCAGGTGATTTTCAGCTGCTCATTCGATGGCATGAATAGTTTCAATCTAAAATTCATTGAGGTTTTTTTCAGAGTTTGAAGATAAGAGACATTTGGCTTTTTGCGCTAAGATTATTTTAGTTTAACTTCGTAATTTGACTAGATGACGTGCGAGGCAATTCGCGGTTATATTGAGCTTAATATTTATAAGAAGCAGGTAACAAAATGTTTCGTGAACTATAAACATTTGTTAAGCAGGTAAGACTGGTACGTGTTGGTTCCTGTGAGAGCTAAAACTACTTTTCACAAAGCATAAAATAATCTTGCATGCGTCTACTCATAAAGAGGTATATAAGTAGTCTTACATAAGTCAAAGGATATCAATAAATTTTTTTATACTGACAACAGTTTTCAAAGATATGGCAACTCAAGTTTTAACAAATTGAGTTCATGCAACTCAAAAAAAACCAATTTTCATCCCATGAACCCAAAAACTAATTATTTTATGCTGTTTATGCTGTTAAAGAATGTTCAAATTGGTACTTCATTAGTTACCTTATTTTAGTGTTCCGACCACTTCGTATGCCGTATTTTCTTTTTTTCTTTTTTTTTGCTTTCCACTCAAAATCAGGTACCACAAATAATCATCGCACTGGGATAAGTAATATATCTTAATAAAGCCCAATTTGACTTAAAAAATTCCAAAAAAAAGTTCCCGGTGTTGAGAAAAACCGGTTTCAAATTTTTGTTTTTTCGTTTAATTTCAACCAAAAAAAGTGTTGATAACTTGTTAAATTGGTCACGTTGGCTGAAAATACTTGATTTTTTTTAAAATGGAAAATAGTTTGGCAAGAAATTTTTAATTTAAAAGAAAATTGTCCAAAAAAAAATGAAAAAATTCAGTTTATTTTGATCTTTTTTTTTCCAAATTTTTGTTTGTTATTCTTTTGCTGAAGACGACTGTTGTCAATTATGCCTAATTTACTAACTTTTTACTCGTGAGTATAGTTTTATCATCACCTCTCGAACAGAAACCGACACTGATTAGAAGAATTTAGTATATTGAAGAACTTTCATTTGTAGTTTTTATGAATATGGTTGGAGCATTCTGTGCTACTTGCACAATAACCGGGTATCAATCAGTTTTGACCTATCTGGGGGCTTTCGGCGCCAAATAAACTAAAATTTGAGAAGAGCGACTAACAAAAAAAAGCTATTTCTCCGTCGTAACCTTTCAAAAAAAAGCTCATAAACATCATTTTGACCTTCTTGTTCAAAAAATTCTTCTACGACGCAGGTTGTAGACTTCATTGTGTTTGTGCAGAGCAGGAGAAATCAATTGGGTCGGCTTTTCATAAAAGCGTGATCGAAATTTTGCCTGCGAATATTGATTATTGAAGTAAATGCAATTAGATCAACAGGTCATCAAAGAAGACGCTCCATAACACGTACGTGCCACAACCCCCCAAAAGGATATCTGTTTTCAGTTCTAATTCGAAAAACTTGAAATTGAAAATAACAGAATTTTGTAAACCCTGTTTCCAATTCCAATTCCTAGAGCATTAAAAACCAGAAAAAGGAAGATACTTTAAAGATTATCTGGTCTAATTGTCTAACAAACGGCTGTGTGATAGAAAGCTGGTTATCAGTCTAACTACCTGCCAGCGTTTTTGATTGTAAAAATGTAGTGTAGAGTTAATATTAGCTGTCAGCAGAAAACAGTTTCCAAAAGAAAAACTTGAGAAATAGTTTTTGGTTATACTTTTTTTTAAAATTGCGTTTGTTATTATGAGCAATTGCTTAATCTTTTGGAACAAATCCTAAAATTAATCCTTTTTTCTCCAACTTGATGTCAGTTTTTTCATATGCACTCGCTCAAAAAAATACAAATTCCTTACCCACTGTCAGTGGCTTAATTTGCATTCAAGCAATCATCCAGGTTGACTTTTATGGGCCGCGCAAAGTCGCTCAAAACTCTTCATTCGCGCAAAGTCGCAACATAGCCATTCTGAGTCGCTATCGTTGCAATAGAACTTTCATGGGGCGCGCAGAGTCGCAGCATATCTTTTTTGGGTCGCGCAAACTCGCGCAAAGTTTCTTCGGTCGCACAAAAACGCAACATACCATTTTGAGTCGCAATGATTGGAACATACTTCTACTGGGTCGCGATGGTCGCAACATAAGTCTCAGACTTCGGTCGGGGTTCAACCTATTTTTGGCACTCAGGGCAGTTTCGGATGAGGGAGTTGGTGGCAACTTCTTAATTCTTTTTTCCATCTCCACAAGCATTAGACTCTCTATCAACTACACCGATTTTGCTAGTTAGCTGTTCCAGAACCGCAAACAATCGATTTGAATCACGCGCGTTTTGCTGGTTAACTGTTCCATGTTCGACTCGTTGACATGTTCGACATGTTCGAAAACAAAACCTATATTTTTAGTATGTAAAATTCGTCCGTTTTTTTAAATTTAAAAAACAAATTTTTATAAAATCTCTTTTGCCACAGAAAATTTTCAAAGATTTGAATTTCAGTCAGACATTTGTTTAGTCTGCAAAATGGTTCAATTTTTATCAAAATAAAACAATTTTTTTTCTTCATTCCGTTTTTGTAAAGAAGTTTTTCCAGAAAAATTTCATTTTCTTTTTCAATTTCAAGTGATAATTTGCAACCAAATATCTGTAATACAAAATTAAGCCGCTTTTTTGCAATATGCATTCTGCATGAAATCCTAAGCTCAACAGTTTTATATCCCAATCTACTCTTAGCGTTAGAAAATCACAAATTGGATAAACTTTGTATCTTTGCATATTTCGGCCTTGACATCAATGTCAACGGTGTGTAGCTCAAACCTACCCGCACTTATTATGATGGATTATAAAAAAGTATAATGATCGATTTTAGAATGAAACAAGACTGCTGGTATCAAGGCATCGCCCTGAATGTTCCTATCAAGGTCTATGAAGCAGTGATAACATTAAAAATTTAAAAGTAAAAAAAAAGAAAAAAAGCACTGTGAACTTTTTTTAGTTTGAGTTTTTTTGGAGAAAACTATTCCCCCACACGCCATATAAAGTACAAAAAGTTAAATTTTCTTCCTAAAATCAATTAAATTTTGCGAATAAGCTTCCTTCAACCAACTGGGAACTATTTTTAAGACGAATTAAATCTCCGCTTACGCGTCAATAGCGCGTTAATTGTCCCAAAATGACGAAAATGGCAATCACTAAACCAACATTACTTTAGTAAAAAAGATCACAGGTGAATTATCTTTTCAAATTTAAACTTAGGACATCAATGCCTTTTGAATGATATAAATGAATACTGTCAAAAATGATTAGTTAAAAAGTCAAAATTTCTCTGAAGAAAAACCCACCCCGAGTACAATTAATCCGTAACATTCTCTACGAAATTCGGAACAATATTTTCGTTACGAAAGCCGGAACAAAAAGTAATAAATGTAATTAAATCCGTTCTGGACCGATTTAAAAGGATCTCGTTTCACAGTAGGAAAAAATGTTTTGGATCTAATCTAAATCGATTTAAATAGTGTTAATATCAAAACCGGAAACAACCATATCACCTGATCAATTCCAAATCACTTTTTTCAGCTAAATTTTTACGACTCAATTTTTTTCAGATAAATTGATTTTGCTGAAAACTTGATAAAAATTTTAAGAATTACTAAAATCCGAAATTTGTGCAGTATAATTATTTGATCCGAATTTTGCGCATTGTTATAATCAAAGCTGTTCAATAGTCTTTTTCATTTTCTTTATCAGTCATAAACTTTGAATTAATTAGATTTGATTTTGATTCGAATCGATTTTTGTTTTTATAAGAGTTTGGCACATAAAAGATCCGATTATATTTGCGGAATCGGGAACAACTACCTATGTTCGCTCGTTGCGTGATTGACAACAAAACTAATGTGCCGACAAACTTTACAGTACAGAGACTTGTACGTGGAATTCATTGAAATTTTGTAAGCGGCTATCCTTTGCCAGGGTAAAATTTTGCGCCAATCCAGCGACACTTTGGCCTCGTAATGTGACCACTAGAAACATTTTTAAAATGTCTTTCGGAGATTGGGCAATTGATGAATTTGATGTTTTATTGAAAACACAACCCAGTCATATTGGTTAAGTTTGAAGATTTTTCTTTGGATTGCAGATACCTACACACACCAAATTGTGCGCCTATCCAGTGCACTGTTTGGCCTCATAATTTTATGTTTTTTTTCAGCGGTTAAACTGATTTGGCTTCTGATTTTGCGTTTAACTTTTGTTCGAATGTTTTATGATTTTTTTTGCATATTTTGCGTTCAAAATTTGATTTATAATTGGAAACCAATTCTGTTTCGTGTTTTCAAAAAGCTTTTTTTTTTCTTTCAAAATCTTTTTCCGAGCAAAACCGTTGCAAATCAGTTCCAATCATTTCTATACAATATCTAGTTTGTTTTTTACACAATTTTTTTTATCAATTGTTTTCAAATAAATTGTCAATTTTGAACGGTATAAATTCGCAGTTTGATCATTTTGTGTTCATTTGGATTACATGCTACTGGTTTTTGTTCCAATTATTGAAAAAATTGGGTCGTTTTGTTTTATCCGGACAAAATTCGACTCTGAAACTAGTAATTTCAGATTTTTTATGTCAACTGACAAAAATTGTTGTTTTTAGCTCAAATTTACAAAAAAAAACTATTTCATCTTTGATCATTTTTTGTTAAATTATGGGGTTTAAATTGACCAATTTTTCCAATTTGGTTTTTATAAAGCGCAATATTTTCAAGTTATTAACCAGTAAAGGGATATTGAATCCGTCTTAAAAATCGCTGCAAATTGAATTGAGGCAAGCTAATTGGTCTACTTAACTTTGGCTATATGGGAAATATATAATTTTTCATTTTACATATCGTGTGGCGGCTTTACAGAGCTCGTGGAGTGATGACTTTAAAAAAAGTTCAAAAAAATTTTATCAATATTTTACAGTTATCACTACTCCACAGATCTTTTTATTCAGACGGAAATTTCAAGGCTTCGTCCTGATACGAGGAGTCGTGTTGTTTTGATTTATCGAAGAAAAGGAGAAACATATTTGCTAAGGGTGTTTCTTTTTTCAAACTCACACTGATTTTACAAAAAGATGACAACTTATCGGTATCAATTTGTTTATGCTTATGGTTTGCCGAGCGATTATGCGTGCGCTAGATTCAAATGCGGATGGCATTGCCGCTCAATTAACACTTCG